ACGAAGTCTGATTTGATAGCGAGTGTACCCTGCCATAATTAATAAATTTAGTATCTAAAAAATGGATTCATAACAACAGTGTCTTCTAGTACAGTATTTCAATTGTAGCCTCTTTACTATTGCTATAGTTAAAAAGGGAAAGAAAACTGGAAATAAAATAAGAGGAAAAAAGAAATCAGACGATATCGATAGAAAATACCTGATGGCAGATCGTATATCCGTTAAACGATAATAAGAGAAGCAGAGTGTGGTCGATAGTAGTGCAGGTAGTTCGATAGACATTACCAGTACGATCTTGGGAAATGGTAAAATCGCGGTGTCCCGACGCCGGCAAATGGAAAATGGATCCCTCGTACGATTTTAGTATACCACGTGCGCCGGATCCGCGAATCGTTGTATTGCCTCGTTGCATTGCCGCGTTACTATCTTCCAGCTACCATATCGTATAAAAGCCCTCTCGAATTCTCATTCCTGATAATGCTGAATTCTGGTAAATTTCACAGGATCTAGCCGCGAAATCGTTGCGATCTTTACCTGGAGATTTGTTTAGTCCTCGAGCCTTTATATTGCCTTTCTCTGTTAAGTCTTTAGGGATGCGACAATTATTTCAATTAACACTGGTCCTTACCTTTCTATAATGAATTTTTCTGAAAATGATCAAAGTTATAATAAACTGCTATAAATAGCGGAAGTTTTTCATTGGATACAATCGATCCGCCATTAGCCGAATGCACGTCCCATTGGAAACGCAACCGATCGGACAATAAGGGGTTAAACAGTTATTAAACTGTTCATTTCACTGCCCCTTGGACAGTGAGAGGAGGCAAACAACGCGCACAGGAAACAGGGGTGGACGGGGCGTGCACAGGTGAAGGGGTATAGGGGTCAGTATCGTTCGCTCGCACCCTTAATTAGCGCACTCAATTAAGCAGGCGCAGCGAAGCCGCACGACACAGCGCGCTGACTTTTTGCGTTTAAACTGCGTTAGAGGATCGAATTGTCGACGATTATACGGATGCTGGTCGAATTATTTTTCTCTTCTGGTTGAAATACAAACGAAGAATATTTATTTTTATTATTAAAAATCTTATGAGTATAATTATTACATATCAAATGCAAATGAATGAACTACTTGAGATGAACATTTTCATGGGACAAGTAACCTCAATTCTCATAATAAAGTCAGTAGCATTCCCTCAGTCTTACTTTGGCTATAAATGTACCTGGCCCGTCTAATATTAAGCCTTCTTCGATTTTCCGTGTGCTCATTCATTGGCGAATTGATTGGGAATTCGCCTCGTTGCGTGACGTTATTGTCATTTGGTTCTCAGAGAAGACAGTTCAGGAGACCTTATTTCTATTTGTGAATTCTCCGCCTTCCTTTGTCAAGTATTTTCTGCTGGTAAATCACGTCGACGATGAGAAATTTGGCCTATTTAATATTGTGCCTGTGGTACTTGCTCGAGATAGGGCTTCGGATTGGTTAAAAGGCAGAGGGAGCATTGTATGTTCCATTCAATTTTCATCAAACTATCAGTTCTTCGGTTATCAATTCAATTTTTTATTCGCAAAAAATTTAATTAATAAATTTATGTATTCTAAAAATGTTAAATCGCTGTCTAACGATTCCTCTTGTACAGAAAATGTTTTGCATTTTGAAATTTTATAATTCGCACAGAGAATCGGTCATTCGTTAGTCTTGAAAGGAAACGGAGATGGAGAGGAAGTTGAAACAGTCTGCAGATGTTTATGCAAATGTTGTCCCTATTAAGATGTTTAAACATTATGATCTCTGTTTTGCATATTTCGTTGTACTTTACTTCACGCAGCATAAGATTCGCATGTGCATACATTTTTCTATATTTCTATCATATTTTTCCGTATGGGTGTTTATAATTTTGTGCTTTGAATATAATTACATTTAAGGTAATGAAAAAACGAGAAAGGACGACGACGGAATTAAAAAGGATCGTTATTGTTTAACACAACAGACCCTGTTCAGGTTAGGGACAGGTGGAATATATTTGCTGGTCGGCCACAAATCACCAGTTTCCGATCCCTGCTAATCCCTTGGACTTACGGGAGGGTCGTCGAAGAGAAGGATTTCCGTTTCTACACTGGTTCACCATGAATTTTCTTCTCTTCTCTGAATCTTTTCTACTCAGTTGTAACTCTTCCCTCGTAGATTGCATCTTGAATTCTTGTTTCCCTTCCGAAGATTCTATTTAAAATAAGTTGCATCCCTCAGGAAAATAAATCTAGGGTGCAGTCAGACTATCTGGTGTTTATAAATTTTTAATGTAGGCGTTTAGTGGAGGGGAGAGAGTTTCGTCTCCCCGGACGCCTTTAGTTCGGTCCGGGGAGCGCTAGATGGCGGCGAGATTGAACGGAGCCTCTCGCAAGCGCTCGCCCGGCATGCCGTTCGGATATATATAAGTTCCGAATAGCGGTACGATAGGTGTCTGGGGCAGGGATCGTCTGTTGTCAGCCCCACTGACGAGTCTAACAGACGATCCCGAGACGAAACACCGTTTGTTTTCTCTTTCCTACATTAATAAATCATATATCTTCAGCCAATTAATCCACCCACGAGTACATAATCCCCTCTCTAAATCTTCAAATTATCATCATCTCTTGGAGCAAACAACTATTCATCATCCAAACTCTTCTTCAACTCCTCCAAAAGCTTGGCATTCCCCATAGTTTCTGAAGGAATACCACGAAAGGAGAAGACCGGCTTTCCCTTTCGAGACCACTTTCCAGCCCCAAATCCTCGTCCATCCCGGGCAGCGTGTAGGTAGAGGATAAGAAGAAAATGGCCGTAGGGCGATCGGTCTGTTGGGAGTCGAATCGACGACGGGAAACGAGAAATCGGTCGACGCACGTTTCCCAATGGGAGAACGAGAGTCGGTGACGGGCTTTAAATAAATAAAGAGTGAGCCCACGAAGGGAATCAAGAAAGTCGAAGGGGTCTGGGGTATAGGACGAATGGGGGAATCCGAAGGGAGGGTAGGAACGGGGGATGCGCATCCTGGGAGCCATGCATCAAGCCCTATTACTCTCGCCAGCCTAACTGCTAGACGTAACTGAAATCCAGGGAAATCTGCTCGCCTTGTCCTCGCCAGCCTTCGTGCCCAGAAGATTTCGAAGGGAGGAAACTTCCTGTTTCCATGTTTCCGTCCAATGGTGGTCGGGTTTGATTGTTCGTTCAAATGGATTGGATATAAGCTTCTTGGGGTTTTTAGCGATTGAGTAGGGTGATGCTGTCGGTGGTAATTGTTTTCCTGGGGATTTCCTTCATTGCTAGGGTAATTCCTAGGTACAGAGGTAATTTATTTGATTGGGTTAATTGATTTCTAAATCGCTCGATTGCTAAAATTTTGGATGTCCTAAAGGCCACTGGGTCGGTATAAATTTGAAATTTTCGCGTTAAAAGGAGATTGTTTAAAATATAACTTCACGGACGATTCACTGTGAAAAATATCGATTCAAGCCCGACCTACCTCCGTGCATCTTTTGCATTTTATTTCAGCTCGGACCGTGGTGCAACATCAATCATCCTTCGTAATTTAGCGCGTGGAACAATCGACAGCTGGACCGTAAATGGATTTACCGGCACGTATGCACGGATGACCGCAATAATGATTCGTTCAAACAGAATTATGCACGGCCGATGCCGCGATAACGGCGCCGCTAAACATGGACAAATCGTTGTTACACAATTCTCTGTCGGCTACTGACATTCGCCAACTTGATGGACAAAATCGATTAGTCTGGAGATCGACTGCTGTGTTCTTAATCCTTTGACTGTTATGAATAGCAGTTTCACGTTTCAGAAGCTAAAGATACTAGGGAATTTTGAGTTACGAGCAAGGTACAATAGCGAGCTAACTGGACTTCCCTAGGGGAAAAGGGTCCCACTATTCGCTTATAAATTTTTACTAGGGATATTTTTTTATTCGGAACTTAAAAATTTGGGATTTTTGGCCCTATTCCCCTATAACAGTAAATTCTTACTAGGGAATTTTTATATTCGAAACTTAAAAATTTGGGATTTTTAATTTTTCAAATTTTTAGTTTCAAGTTTTGAATTTTTGGCCCCATTCCCCTATAAAAGTATTTTCCCTAGGGAAGTCTCCATTCTCGGTGCTGTACAAAATCTAGACTTATACAAGTAAATGAATATTCGTCAGATTTTAAGTTGCCCAAGTTAACTTCAAAGTCTTGAAAGTTGTAAAGTTTTAAAGTAGCCTCGAAATCATCTTCAGAACCAGACTGGCCGATCCCGGAAGAGTATATTTATCAGGATGAAAATCCTCGAGGCTGTAGGAGCGATTACAGAAATTATAGTACACCGACGAATACACGAAAGCTGCGGAGGAGTAAGTTAAATAGGATTCCTAGGGACATTTCGATCTTCCGATTCCGTGGATCCTCTTTAGCCAAGCGTGCGCCGGTTAATCCTGAACGTATGTCGCGATTTCGCGATCTGCATACTGCTTACCCGAGAGTAATTTCCTCGGGACTTAGGGTCGTTCCTCGGCGACGACGACTGGAGGTGCTGTTGGCTGACTCTACCCTACGAAAACGTTAGTTTGCCCAATGTATTAAGTCGTCGCCGGTCTAGGGGATTAACGATCGGAGTCGACGTCTAGTAATTTCGTTTGCGCTTAACTCGTGACGCGGCGCTGCTGCGTTTTATCCCCATTAACACCCTATTGATGCGTATTCCATTTTATTCCCTTAAAAATTTTTAAATAAATTACTTTTCTCACCTCCAAGATGAATTTCATGCCTCAAAGTTTATTTATAAACTGATTCGTGCGAGGTTAGGTTTGATGCCGTGGCATAAAAATGTACACCCCTTTCGACGAAGTGTCTTATCGAATTAAGAATTAATTAATTAAGAATTAATTTAATTTCTGTTTCAGGTAAGATTTCTGGCCTCTTTGACTCCGTTTCCTTTGGCACGCGAGCGGCTCGGTAAGTTAATTAAATTTCTCTTAGCGTTGTTGCCTCCACCGTAGTGCGAATAATGAAAGAATATTGGAAGAAAAAATGCAGGATTTCTGTGCCACCCACTGGGTCGCGAGTGTGTTATAAAAACTTCATTACAAGTCCGGCGCAATTAATGATTGTTAGAATGTACCTCCGATGAACGAGAGGGTGAGATAAACTTCACTTCGAAGTGAGCAGAAAAAAAGTATAAATTAAATTAATTTGCAGAATTTATGAACTCGATGAGTCCGTAGGAAATTACATAAATTTTCAGATAATTATATCAGCACCCATTTAATTATGCTTAGTTAAAATTTTGTATAACTGAAAATTAGTTGAGTTATAAACTACGCGAGGTAATAAGTGGGAAATTCTTTGTCAGCACTATACGAAATTCCAAGTTTCATCCAGCAGACAGAAGAGTTCCTTGCACGCGAAGAAGTTCGCTGAAAAATTCAGTGTCTAGTACAGGGTGGTAAAAAAGGAAAGTAGGGTCCAACGAGAGGGTGGTTATCCCAACGTCTGGTTGTGTTTCGTCGTAATTAGAGGTGGCCGTAATCTCGAACAGCCGCGACGCCTAGTAATTATTTCATTTGCTACTTCTTGATTTGACAGTAATTAACGAAGCCCGTTCGTCGACCAGGAATTACCACGTCAGACGTCAAGTCAGCCCCATCGAGTAACTCGCATTCTTCCCCTTGTTTAACCTTCATTGTGCCTGATACCACGGTTCTGTTTAATTAACGATATTTACCCCCGTGCCCCTCCACCCTTATCTTCGTGTCTATTCCACCCACCATGAAAATAGAAACCTTCCGAATCTTCGTTGTTTTAGGAACTTTCTTTGGAAGATTTTTTGGAAGATTTAAGAAGGGTTGTAAATATTTTGGTAGTAGGGTGTTGATAAAATAAAAATAAAATTTGTTAGTTTGGAAATAAATTTTATTGGTACCGTGTGCGGGTACTCGAATCTCGGGTCTGACCGGGACGGGTAATGATCGAGTTGAGTTCGAGTCTCGACTTAAAAATTTTTGTCCTAGACAAACTTTCAAAGTCCCACTCGAATTTAAAGAAATTCCCGACCCGACTTTTCGGGTACCCGCACGTCCCTAATTCATAGGAATGAATAAAAACATAGAGGAATTCATGTCCGAAGTATAGCGTTAAAGAACGCCAACTATCGAATTACACTCAGTAGGGTGGAATGTGATAATTATCCAGCGGAAATGGAGCACAAATTACAGTGGTCTATTTGACGGACGTGGACCACGGGTGTACACGAAACTAATGAGGACGAAGTTATTCAGAAAAAGGCACGGATTAAAGTCCTTTGCTTGTGACTGTAAAAACTGACAGAGAAATTTCCATAAAAGCTTGAAACGCGCGTTTCACCTGTTTTTACTAATTCTGTATCTCGATATTCCTTTATGCTCCCCGTTGGCGGTAAAATTTGCCACCCGTGCTTTTGAAATTAATGGAAATTATAAATTGATAGCAGAGTGGGTATTAAAAAATTCATCAGAAATATTTCTCACCCGAATTTTATTTAAAATTACATTCTCTAACAGTTCTTCTTTAAAAAATAACATTATAAATGTATAGTCATGATCGTGGAGAGAAAATCTCCAAAAATCTCGCCCTCCTCGTTATTCATTCATGCAATCCTCGGATAATCAGGTTACCACTTTCGAAGGGAGTCGATTGCTCGAGCGTCCTCTCAACCTCGTCGAGGGTGAATCGGTTCATTGTGCAATCGATCCTGATCAACGGTGGTCGTTTCTGAACAATCAGCCCTGAAAAGAAGTCGTCGAAGGTTCTTGTGTGGTCTCGTTTTTCTTCGGTCTTCGAGGATCTGGGTGATTACGCTCTAGAACCATCATGACTCTACCCCGCGTTTCCTTGTTTCCACTAACACGCGTTGTCGCCTATAATCTCGAAGAGACACTTGGAAAAGTGTATTTTTCAATCGAATCCATTGGAACATCTTGGAAATGTTCATATTCTGCTATTATCTTTATCAAATTATTACACAGTCACAAACATCGTCGCACAAAATGCACCCACATCAGTTGCCCCTGCAAGGCTGTCGAACAACCGAAAAATGGTTCAAAGGACCGATCTGAACGGCAAACACTCGTCTCCGCGGCGTACATGCCGGCCACGTAAAATCAAGCAATCGTTCGAAGCGAAGCGGCGATTAAGCGAGCGCGCTGGTAAGAGACGGACAGGTTGAAAAATAGAGGAAACGGAACGAAACAGGGTTAGTAAAGACACCACGGGTCCTCCGGCACGGGTTGCCGGTATCGTGGAGGGAGGCGAGGACGCGAAAAGGTGGAGGAGGAGGTGTCGAGCGTAGAGTCCGCGGTGAGCTTTGGGGATCGCGAGCACGCAGACTCGGGCAGTCTCGCGTGATCTCGGCCCAGTCTGCTTCCCGATTGGCGGGTGACGTAGTAGCGGGGCGGGAGGAGCAGGGGGGTAGCGTTTGAAAGGCGCGTATACGCCGCGATACGACCGGGCTGCGGCGACGGTGGCGGTGGAGGCCTACGCGGGCGTCGCGAGAGAGACGCTCCTCAGTTGTGTCAAGCTAGGCGATCGAGTAGGACGCTCTTTAATCGTTCCCGCCTCCGAGTTACTCTCTCACGTACACACACACCGCCTCACACACACACACACACACACACACCACACACGTACACAGTCCCCCCACACGTACACAATACACACTTCTCTCTGTCTCGACTCCCGCGTTGCTCCTCCACAGACAGAGCCGCTCCACTCGTCCGCAGACCAGTTACACACGTGCACACAGACAGACACACACGAGCCCGCGGTCTCTCTCTCTGTCTCCCCTTTATCTCAGCTTCGTTCTCTCCTAGATACTTTGTTTCCCTTTGAATCCGCCCGCAACGCCGCCGCCGCCGCCGCCGTCGCCGATCGCCCGTACACCGACTCTTGTTTACCCGCATCCGTTTATCTCTGTCAGCGGCGACGCGCGCGTGCCAGCCGCTACGGGATCAGCCTCGCGGAAGGTCTCCATCGGCCGCGTCTCCGGACAGCACATGATACGCGCCGCGTCGGGACCAGGGGGTATCCGCAGCCTCGAAGTCACCTGGTTGCACGTTCGGGTGTGCCAGGGCTGTCCCGACGACTCTAGCCAGCCATCCGCCAATGGGCCGAACGCATGCACCGGCTCCTTTGAATCACTGTCTCACTGATCCTGCCCCGTTCTTGCCTGTCGACGACGACCGTGTGTGTGTGTCTGTGTGTGTCGAACGCGACCAGTGAGACGACCAGTTGTCGGCTACCAATCGAGAAAGTTTCGCCAGCCACCCTGAACTGCGAAACGGGTTCAAGGTCGCCCTCATCGTCATCGTAGCAGTCGTCGCAGCCGCACGGGTGAAAGCTAACTGCTGACCACCACCGGAGGAATCCAGAGCAGGAGGATCGCTGCGAATCGTGGGACGCGGGCGAAAGAGAGATAAAGGAAGGACGCGAGGCCGAGATTCAAGATTCTCAAAGAGATTTATATATATACAGAATTTATTTTGTTGCCGCGGCGGGCCGCGATTCAGAGACTCGCGATACAGAGTCTCGTAAGTCGTTCGGACGTTAGATGATCCGAAATCCGGGAGATCCCTAGGTAAGACTGAGAGCGGACCTCAAAGAGAGCCCGAGTAGCGCTGATAAAACTTGCGACAGTATTCGTAACGCGCAATCCTCCTCGTGTTTTAATCCCCCTCCCCCTCGACCCTTTAGACGTAAACGAACTTGTTCGTAAGTATTAGAATAATAAAAGTACGCTATAAGTATATAAGAAGAGATGGTCGCGCGTGAATCATGAGCGACCGATCGAATTAAAGAGAATCGCGTCAAGACAATCAAGCACAGTAGTGGGTTGGGCATAATCGAGAAACGAGAAGAAAGGATAGAAGATAAGAGAGAGGGAGAAGGAACACCGAGTTCTTTCCTCTCTTCGAGGAGAGGCAAATTGAGAAATAACGAGTTTCGTGTCTTCATGTGATCTCCAGCCTCTGTACCGAGTCTACGTGTGTACACGCTCTATTATTCTACATAGATACATATATGTATATGTATATATACATACGATATATATATTATATATATTTACACTTATATACATACGTTTATATGTATACACCCTTCGCACATATCCGATCGTTGGGCCGAGCTAGATGATCGATCTAGAAGGAAACTAGACCAGGCCCTGACGAACGTTTCTTCCCTGTGTGCTCCCTGAAACAAGGGAACGTTCTCTGTCAATCTTTGTGACAATCATTTTCAGCTAGCTCTCTTAGTGTATTCAGACTAAGTGTCTCTTTTTAAAAGTCGCGTTTTACCAATCGACTCGAGTCTTGTCGAAAAGAAAGAAACATTTTAGGAGAAGATTAAAAAAGAAAAAAAGAAAAAAAGATACGACAGAAGCAAATCACGTACCTACGACGTTTCAATTAACGTACACGAGCGAGCCGTGCGAAGCCAACGAAGACTTTCGCGCGTCTTCGTCCCTCTTCTTAACCTCTAACCCTGCACTTGACACACATTTGTACGCGTGTGTGCAGTCATAAGCGTGTATCTTTGACCCATCTCAAGTCAGTCTGTCTTCACCTTTGCACGGTCTACCCTCGTGCACCATAACTTCCACTCCCCCCCCACTGTACGCCCTCTACTCGCTCACCACTTTGACAATCATCACTTTGTATTACACCGCGTCTTGGGTAACCGCCTGATCGCACTATCACTTTAGGCTTAACGCGTTTGGCCTGCGTGCGCGCTTATGGTCTCCGCGTGTACATACAGTAAGGGATCTCTTTAGGTGATAGCCTAGTAAGCGTCGATAAGCGGCGTGCGTGTATCCGATCTAGCTGGTAAGATATAAAAATACTTAGAGGGCAGAGAAACTCTCGTCACCCGGGTATCTCGTTCGGACGACTAATACCGATCGCACGATCATACAGAGAAAAGTTGATCAATAAAAGAAACGGGTAGTATCATCGGCCTCGCGGTCCAATCGCCACAACAATCGGTCAAACTGTGGTGGCCGTCGTTCGAGTTGAGCAGATCGAGCAAGACGGAAGCTCGCCATCAGGCGTCATCCCTGGAACGTGCCTGGGCCGCTCAGGAACGCGCCAGGTTCTTCTGGAGCCTGCAGTCGTTGCCGGCGACTGGCAGCAGCCGTGGTTTCTTCGTTCAACCAAGCAAGTCTTGGCTAGCTGAGACGATCGGCGCCGAAGAGGCACGTTCCTCCATCACCACGTATTTTCATTCGTACCCGTTTGTCCCGGGTGGTGCGGTGTCCCTGCCTCCGCCCCTGCTGAACAGCATCAACAACGCGGCGGCAGCAGCGATCACCCCCGGCCTGGTAGGACACCTTTTCGCCGGCCAACAAGCCTGCAACCTCGGCTGCAGCTGCACCTGCACCAATATCGCCAACTGCAACCCGCACCACCATCAACACCATCACCATCAGCAGCAACAGCATCATCATCATCAGCAGCAGCAGCAACAGCAGCATCACCATCATCGGCCCCTCGCTGCTACCACTGTCCTCCTGCAACCGGTCGAGCACATCAAAGACACCATGGTGAGTCCTCGACTAATTCGGCTTTAAATGGTTGATAGTGGATATCTCTTGGCGTTTCTGGGGATTCGATGAGTGGTTATGGATTAAATATCCATTTCGAGCTCTCTAATGGCTAGAGAGACAGATGGGAGGTATAGGGTTTTTTATTATTGCAAAATTATTTATTAATGGTGCTAACAATTTTGTTGAACTGAATATCTAGAAGAAACGAAATATGTCGTCGCGAGGCTATGAAACTCGTAACCTTCCACGATCCGTCATCCATGGGTTAACTACCCTGGTGAACTTGCTGCTGGATCGATTCGTGTCCAGAAATAGCGACGACGTCGCGTTTCACAGCTTTCGGCTCGTCTTATTGCTTCTGGCGTCTCGTTGCTTCATTCTTTCCACTGTTTGACGTCTTCTGAGCTCATGGCATAGCTATTTCCATTATATTCCGTGTTTACCTCTTCCCGCTGATATTCGGAAATGTTTCATCAGTTGGTAAATTGAGGAAGTGGTCGGTTAAATTTATTTTTGGATCCTTAATTAAAATTAACATTTGGAACCTTAGGCAGTGGGATTAGTGTATCTGGCTATGTGGGTATGTCCAGATTTAATTCATTAGGGCAAAGTGAATCTAGAACCTATTGGAAATCATATTACTTAAGGGAGGACTTAATATTTGTCAGTATTAGCCATTTAGACAAGGAAACAAGGAGGGATTTATCATTATTTATAGAGGATACAGATTCACCATAAAAATTCTTCTGCCAATTGAATGTCGCCTCAAAAATTCTGCTTTGTCACCGTTTAACCGTGCCGGAAACGAGGGGGGCCGGGATCCATAGCGCGAAGACAGGTGCGCCTAACGCAATTCCCCGTCCGAACGAGGAACGGAGGAAGGTCGGATCGCGCGATCGAGCAGAAAGCTCGAGTTTGCTCAGGATTCCCGATCAGACGCGTCTCCGTTCGCGTAGGAGCCCCTCTCGACACCTGTCGATCGAGGGATTAAAGAGGACGCCACGCTAGAAACACGGCGGGGCTTAAAGCGTCTTCTTGCTGGGCCACAAACCTCGGCAAACAGGTTCTATCTATGAGAAATGAGAGGATGTGAAAAAGGAAGGTAGAAAGAGGTTGCCCCAAGGCCGGGAAGGGGTTACTTCCGGAGAAATTTTAAACTTCGTATGTCGGATCATTTTGACCCACGTCTAGTTTGCAATAGTCTTACGTTTGAAATACAGGCACGCGTAAGAATTAATTTTCGATGATAATTCATAATTTCGTCGACGAAAGACTCCAGTTGTTGTTGGTAGAAGTTTTCAAGCGCCTGAGCAAACGTACTTATGATATATCCTATCAAGAAACTTAAACTCCCGGTTCGCTTAATCTAGCCGGCAAATGGGAGAGAAAGTTCTGCTTGAGCAGTTTGCTAATTTTGCCACCTAAACAGTTCCTTAAGGACTGGCTGTCAAGATTTCAAACTGTCGCAAGTGCTACTCGGGCAGTTTTCAATCTCCATTTCGTATGTATTCAGCGCATGGACTTACTGCTCCTATGAATATATCCATTTTGAATTGGAAACAGTAACAAAATCGGTATAGAATATCATTACTTGAAACTGTATATCTGTGGCACTATTTGCATTCTATTACCGTCTGACCTTACTAAATATCATTTTTATTATGTTGTCGAAGAAAGTAGATGGCTAAAAGAGAGATTAATGCAGTACAATCGCGTGCATAGATGATTTACGCGGATTAAAGGGGGCGGGGCTTCTCGCGACTCGTGTGGCGGGCTCGGCAGAGTTCGGCTCGCGTCGGCGCTTGGCCACGCCCCACTCACTGGGACAACGTTTCTATGCACTTCTTTCGAGAAGCAATTAAAATAGACAATTTCTGACTTTCTCATCATGCTATCAATTATTAATGAAATTCAGTATGCTGCAAATTCATATATGAAATTTTTTAAGTAAATAGCAAGAAGAATTTGATTTCCTAATAGAAAAATCTAGAAGATTTCGTAGAAATAGTAAGAAGGAACGTTTTTGTGAGCCAGTTGCTCGACGACGAAGTAAAATCGTGTTCCAGCGAATTGAAATGGTCGGATCCTTGCATCCTGAGGATTCGCCACACACTTTCGACGAGGAACGGAGCTTACGTCACGCTCGAGAAACGAGGGAGAACGGTCGTTGCCTCTTGACAGGCCGTTTCAATGCACCGTTTCCGGGAAGATTTACGCTCGCCTCGAGTTCACGCGCGATTCGACGCGACATTTACACCGGGACGCTGAAGATACACGCGCCCACGAGCACTACCTTGTCGAATATTTATACCCGTCCCGTTCTTTGTTCGGGACGAAAAAGACCCCTCCGTTTTCTCGTGATTTGAACCAGGAAAATAATTGATTCTATCGAAAGGGAAACATTTATCTATGATTCTAAAATGAAATTAGAGTATCTTTTTAAAAATTCATAAAAATCGACGTGTATTAATTAATTAATATCTTGTTATTCATCCTGGTAACAGAACCACCATAAATTTCAATCCTAAAAAATATAAAACACGAAAGCTGTTCGTTATAATAAGCAGTGAAGTAAGGAGGGTCGAATCGTAACGAGTAAAGAGAGATTAAACTAAATCCTGGCCGGGTCAAAGCGTTTGATATCTTGTTGCTTTTTCATCTTTCGCTGCAAACTCCGTGTTAATTACCTGGTGTACATAAGGAACGGGGTAGAAAGATGGAAGAACCGTTCCTTCGAGTTTCAATCGTTTTATCAGTGACTTGTTGACATTTACTATAAATCTGAGAAAAACGGATGAACGGAAAATTGCGACACCAACTATTATAAAACTATTACAAAGATACTGTTATTAAACTTCAGAAACCTGTAGGGAAGAATCTTATTTTTCATAACATCTTTTATCGGAAACATCGATGGAACTCTCGTAATTGTTTTGATATAATTTAAAGAAAGTATTTCTTGTCTCGGAAGTTGTAAGATCTGTTGAAAATTATTTTTCCTTTAAAAGAAACTTTGTCTTTTATACCCCGGGTATTATTTTATTTTCTTAATCGAAGAAATTTGATTCCCTCCGCAAATTAATTCTAACAAAACTATTCGTCCATTTGCACTTCCTGCATGTCTGTTCGTCTTCCTCGCCGTGTTCAAGAACCATACCGTCTGCATCAACTTCCGGTCCACGGATCGCGTGAAAAAAATCCTTGAGCTAGTTAATTATTCGAGCATTAGCCTCGCTCTTTGTATTCCAATTATGGTCCGAAGGAATTCTTGAAAATTCAAAGCGTGCAACATATTCGACCCCATTGATGTAATTAAATTTTTTCTTTTTTCTTTTTTTTTTTTAATTAAATTTCAATTGCTCTTCTGTCGTGGACTCGTTATCAGGAAGTTACTCGGAAGATTTCTCTTACAATGCGAGAGAATCAGCCGCGTTTAGCGAAGCATCTCGCGCGTAACAGTTTGTCATGCCAGGTTAAATTGCGCCAAACGACGCCAGTTTGCGTCCTAACCGCATTGACCGACAATTATATAACCCTTTTACACACAGTCCTGTTATATTCCTTGGGGATTCACGGGGCTGCCTTTGAACCGACATCCTCAAACATCCGCGTATCTTCTTGATTACCTTGAATCCCCTTCAAGATGCATACCACCAGCTCGAGCTTCCTTTCAAAGAACGAGACTAGTTGAGTAATTGCTGCTAGTAAATATTTCAAGTGTCTCTTTATTTCGTGCTTCGAAGGAGGCAAATTTTGTTAAAAGATCAGGTTTTTCTAACAATAAGATAAACGATGGATCCTGGGTCTGT